CCGCTGGATGTTAATGCGCTGAATTACGTCAATGTCGTGATAAAGCTCGTACAGCTCGTCGTTCATTCTAATGCGGTAGTCGTCGCCAACTCGTAGAGGACCAAAGATCTTACGAAGAACTTTTCTCTCGAACACTCCCAGTGCTGCTTCATCATTCTGTGATAACGTCCATGCTTCTGCGCCATACAGAAGCACAGGGAGGATGAGCGACCTATAGAGCGTAAGTTTTGTTTGTCGAGAGAGAGCTCTACATCCCAATTGCCTACTGAGCCCATAGTAGCACCTATTAGCAATGGTGATTCTTCGTCTGATCTCCAGACTGACATCATTTGTATTCGTTACGGCGGTGCCAAGGTAGATGAAATCCTTGACAGAATCGAAAGTATAGTCGCCAGCCACTAGCCCGGCGTCCGAGCGACGCACATTTCTACCAGTAGCCGACATATACTTCGTTTTTCCCTCATTCACCGCTAAACCCATTCTTGCAGATTCCTTTTCGATAGCAGCAAAAGCAGCTGTAACATCACGCTTGCTACGCCCAATGATGTCAATGTCGTCGGCGTAAGCAAGGAGCTGGACACATTTGTAGAATATTGTTCCATTACGATGAACACCTGCCCTGCGCATGATCACTTCCATGACGAAATTGAAGAGGTCACATGATAAGGGATCACCTTGTCTGAAGCCTCGCACGGTATCAAAAGGTTCAGAGAGACTCGATCCTACCTTGACGGAGCTACGGGTATTACTCAGCGTCATTCTGCAAAGCCGAATTAATTTTGCAGGGATACCGAGCTCAGACATTGCGGCGTAAACGCGATCCCTAATGGGCTATCGAAAGCTGCTTTATAATCGACAAAAAGGTGATGAGTGTCGATGTTATGTTCGTGGGCTTTTTCCAGGATTTGTCGCAGTGTGAATATCTGATCAATGGTGGAGCGACCAGGTCGAAAGCCGCACTGATAAGGTCCAATCAGTGAGTTGGCATGTGGCTTCAACCTTTCACACAGTACAGTTGAAAGAACCTTGTACGCGACAGGTATCAGGCTAATCCCGCGATAGTTGGCGCAAATCGTCGGGTCACCTTTTTTCAAGACAGGACAAAGGCTACTGAGATTCCAATCGCTGGGCATACTTTCATCTAACCATATTCTGCAGATAAGCTGATGCATGCACCCTATCAGCATATCGCCGCCGGCCTTGAACAATTCAGCAGGCAGGCCATCTGCGCCTGCCGCTTTGTTGTTCTTAAGTCGCTGTATAGCAACACGCACTTCGTTATGGCTAGGTGGTGGAATTTCAACATCATCATTTTCGATTGGGGATACAGAGGGCATTTCTTCAATGGCAGAGTTGATGTTATCATCGCCAGATAGTAGTTTGGAGAAATGCTCCTTCCATACTTTCAGTACATTCTGCGTATCTGTAACCAGATTACCATTTTCGTCCTTACAGGTTGATGCACCAGGCTTAAAGCCTTGAGTCAGACGGTTGACTTTTTGATAAAATTTACGGGCATCATTCCTATTTCTACACACCTCGATTTCCTCTCGCTCGTGCCTTTCTTGATCTCGTTTCTTCCGTCTGAATAGGCACCTCTCTACTTTCCTCATCTCCCGATACTGTTCATGCACGCTTCGCGTTGCTGCTGACTGCAGGGTCCTTTTATAGGCCACGTTCTTCGCAGCAGTAGCTTGGCGACACTCTTCGTCGTACCATTGGTTTCGCCGTGGGGGACGTTGGAAACCAAGGACATCTTCCGCTGTTGTGCGTAGGGAGTGAGAGATATGTCCCCACTGTCTACCGGCATTATCGGGACGGGAGGGTTGGTTGTTAGTTTGCTAATCCACACATTATAAATCTATAACTGTGTTTATACTTCACAATTAGTCGATCGCAATTAGTGATAATTAAAATTAAGTGTTTACATGACGGCAATTTACTTCAGGCTCAGTTAGACGGTAGGTAACGTAAGAAATTAATTCAAAGCGAAATGCACAACCAAGCAAACCTGCGTATGTGATAAGAAATAAATAAACAAAGTACACCGTTTTTGTTTATTACGTTCCTATCAAATACGCAGGTTTGGTTGGTTGCTCATTTCGCTTTGAATTAATTTCTTACGTTACCTACCGTCTAACTGAGCCTTGAGCCTTTCGGGCCATGTTATATAGAGTGTCACAGGCAAGGTATGAGTAAAATTGTTATTGTTTTTACTGAAAATTAAAAAATTGAGAGTGAGAGAAAGAATAATATGTCGGTTCAAATTTCGGCATGATAGCCGGACTATCTGTGTCTCAACACTTAGGCAAAGCATTGTTGTTCCGTAAATAAATGTCAGAGTTTGCGCCTTTTAAGTGCAAATCATTACAATTTCAATACGTTTTGAAGAAAAAATGCAGAAAGCATCACAGCCTATTTTATAAACCGCTAATAATCTTATTCTTACACTTTCTGATTTTAAAGAAAGTCGTATAATTTTGTAAATACTGTTAACAATTGTTATAAGAAAATATAATAACAAATTAACATTTTTACAGCCTCTAATACTATGTTCAGACACGACTTAATTTCGCAAAAATCTTAATTTCATCTTCGTTTCAACGAAATTAAGTTTTAAGGTTAGAACAAAATTAAGGAAATTTGGCTGTCTGAACATAGCATTATATTCAATTTCATTAATTTTTATTTTAATTTAGAAATATTATTGGTTCATAAATAATCAATATACCATTAAGTAATCTTTGACACATCAAAATATATATCAATATTTTTGTTTATACAAAAAACAAACAATATTTGGCAATTCATTTTGTAAAACTTATGTTCTTTTTAAATAAAATTATAGTAACTATATTATAATGAGTAGACGCATTTTTCGTCTACCTTCAAAAAAAAGTTCCAAAGCGGAAAGAGCTGAAAGAGATGATAGCAGCATGGGAGATGGTAGTCATGTTCAAAGTGCTGCATGTCTTGGTGGATCCATGGATGATATTTTTTGTGATGCAATTTTTGGTTCACCTAATGTTAGCAATAAAGAATCCCCCCGACAACCTTCGCCAAAAAAAAATCAAAAATCAGAATCAATTGAGCGTGGTATTGGAGATGAGGCGAGGAGAAAATCTTCGCCAAAAAAAAATCAAAAATCAGAATCAGTTGAGCGTGGTAGTGGAGATGAGGCGAGGAGAAAATCTGTTAAGAAAACAAAAAAGAGTATTAAGAATTTGCCAAAATTAGTTAGTGAAAATATAGTTAATATGGTTAATGAGAGTGAAATAAGTAAGCTTACTGAATTCTTAAATAGCGTTTTCGAACGGCGTTTGCGTGATTTAGATAATCCAGTCACTAACTTGAACAAACAACTGAAATTAGAAGTTTATCGAGACTGGATAGCAATGCTTTCTAAACTGAATAAGTCAATTTTCATAAATATGGAATCATTAGAAAATGATGCAGTTGAGCTTTTAATGAAACAGCAAGATCTCTTCAAAATAAAAACTGCGGAAGATAATGAAATGGAAAAAAAGTATCGTAGTGATATATGTAAACTTATAAAAATCTATCGCGTTGCTTATGGAACCGGACAATGGAATTTTGATGTAGAGTTTAATACCATACGCAAGGAAGAAATTCTTGGTGGCAAGTATAGGAACAATTATTAGTACGAATTATTCTCTTTCCAAATTTTCCTTGAATATATGTATTGAATTAGAAACAAATATTTAATTAAATTTTTTTTTGAATTTTTTGATATAGAAAACCGAACATCACAATTGTCAAAAAGAAGTGGCAGACTTGGCAAGAAATAAAAATCAATCGCACATTTAAAACTTTTGTTTTGTGTCTGCTTATTGTATAAATCATATTAAAAAATGACTGAAATTTCTTATGTCATTACGTATTATATCCAGAAAAATAGTCGGAGATATTAGGTTAAGTATATAACTACCCTTGGAAACCGTTTAAGATTTTTATGTATTTTGGTGGATTGGAGTAATAACTAATTCCAGGGGAGTGCGGTAGACTGAAATTTTTCCCATACTTGCTGAAGACTGTTAGTACTAATTGCTAAAAGATACTTGAAAGATGAAGCAGCGGAATAATGGGGAGTGTGGGGTCAATTATGCTCTCAACACCACCGAAAGTGAAGACCCTATTATTGGTCTCCCTTCAGTGCAGCTTTTTATTATTCAAATTTGAAATAGTTAACGATGTTGGTTTATGAATACTTTGCATTCTTCAATTCGCATTCCACTATTCTTTTCCAAGTCATGTTCGGTCCACCAAGATACCTAGAACCTCACAGATTCAATTTCGGTACCTTCGTGCAATATTGCTATTTGGTCTTCTGAATGTACAACCTATCAAGCGTCATTTGTTTGTCGGAGTTTTTTCTTTTGCTTGAGTTTGGCCTGTGTAAGCCGACATATCGAATTTGGATATTCTCAATGGCTACCAAATAGATGCGCAAGATTTGTAGATCTTGGTCTACATTTTTAACTGGATTGCAGGGTTACTATCCCATCTTATGTTGTCATAAAATATTTTTTGTATTGGTATTGAATATGCAATGTTTTTTAGTGGTAAATACATAGCCACTGTTACATATCTTTTTAAGTTGAATAAAAGCAGCTTCGCTATACGTATGGGGTATAAATGTTTATAGTAAGTAGTTGGTAATGTTTTGCTAATTGAGCTATCAAATGTAACTCTACGACTCATTGAGCCGTACATGCCTACTAATTGAAAAGACTTAACATTTTTAGCTCAAAATTTTGAAGATTCCTGTGCCAATTAAGGTATTCTTTCACAGAGTAGGTTAAAAGAGCATTTAGTATGCTTTACTCTAATTACATTAATTCGTCCGCTTTGGCAATACTTATTATTCTAGAGATCATTCACTTGTCGAGGCTCCACTCTTTAGTGCTTGTCAATATCTGCTCTACTGTCGGAAAAGGGCTGGCTTTTCCGATTAGTATTTCTTTATAGTCACGGCTCTAAATTTATTGTGGAGTCTATATATCTGTGTAGGATCTATATAATTTGCTGATATTAGTGCTGAATAGCTAATTTTAAAAATAGTATATAATTTATAATTATTTAAAGTATTATTTAAAAACGAATATATACAAAACTTGATCTGAACGTTATTAGAGTAGAGTGTCATACTACAATTATTACAAATATCAAGGTTTTTCAATATTACCATTTTAATGGTAATATCTTACACGAGTATATCTTACGTTCAGATTTTCTGAAGTCGTTATAGAAATTACTTCAAGAAATATATGCCACGGTCCACAAATTCATATGCCAAGAATTGATGACACAATTACACACAAAACCTACAAGACCTACACAACCATACGACCATACCTTAACTTATAAAGGACAAACCATAATCTCTAGGAATTTTAATCTCTCTTTTTTTTCTAATAATATTTTCTATAGCCTTTTCAGTTTTTAAGAACAATACTGAAATCCAAGCTGTATTTCGAATTTCTTATGTAGGTTAGCTTGTGTTGAAGTGTCAATGTACTTTTGTGTTTACTTTTTCGTGTCCTTAATTTTCTGACATATACGCAATTTACACAACGCTTCGTATGTGACTTGAGTTTCTGATGTAAGTTCAGTACACAATTTTCAAGCACTGTTCCAAGCTGTAACAGCAGGATAAGCAGCAGGATATATTGTTGCAGAAGAGAAGACAAGTGGCGCAAAGGGTGTTTTACTCGTTAACAAAGACACTGTCAATCAGTTCACACACGTGACAATGTAATAAAACCTTTTTTTATTGTTTTAAACTCGACAAAGTTCAGTGCGAAGTTAACACAAAGTTTGTACCTTTCTGATATGATTATGACACAAATAATGATGATACCAAAATGAATTAGAAGAATTACTGTTTTATTTTTAGAGATGTCATATTGTTAAATAAATGATCAAGAGTATTAAGTAATTTATTTCATACTTTATTATATCAATTTTATTGGGTATTAAATGTTTCAACCCAGCGGTAATCCTAATTTGAATATTTGAAATTGATATACTTATAATATATATATTGATATACTTATATTATATCTCATAGAGTGCTTATTCGTCACACTGCTACAATATATGTTATATGATAACATCTAAAAGTCATTCGAAATCTTGAAATGAGTTATGAAAAAGCATCAGAAATTGACATGTCGCTTGTGCTTTAGACCACACAACTGCACAAAGTTTAGTCAGAGTACAATTTCTGTTTCCGGTTCCCATTCTTCAATCTAATAAAATCAACTCTTAGGAATGAATAATATAGATTCCAGGCAGTGAAGTTCCTGGTGCTGAGAATCTCATTCCAGTAATCACAGGAGAATAGAGGAATGAATAGACTTAGTTCTTTAAAAAACTGAGGTCATCTACATCAGAAAGAATTGGCAAAAGAATTAAGGCGTCAGAAATATGGGCAATAATTAAGAGAAAAAAAACAGGTGAATTAAAGGGGGGTATGATTATTGCGCAAATTTGGTTGGACCAGAGTATCATATATTCTTAGAAGACGCGTTACGAATACTAATTTAAGGTAACGATATTTGATCGCGCATTTTATCTTATTTATTACGTGGAATTTTTTTTTATGTATTGGTTGCAATGGCAGTAATGTTATTAGATAGTTGCAATGACTTATTTCTGTTTACCGTAAGAATTAAGAACTCATAAATAAACCTGTTTGTTAAGTGTTTGTGTGGTAATATAAGAAATCAGCGAGCTTCAGTGAACTATTTTGTTAAAAATAGAATCCAATATCTCAAGAAACAAAATCATTGGAGACAACAGACTGCCAAATTTACAAGCTTATAAATCGTACATATGCTTTCTGGAGAATCAAGAAATCATAACAGTTGCTATTGTGCATACATTATTGATTATGTGTAAAAATTGTGCTGATTTATAAAATAATTATTACAATAAAAAATAGATATGTTTTATGAATATTGTGAAACAATTTTTGCGAAAATTTTTTGGATTTATACAAATGTTTTTGACATGAAATGAGTATCAGTAAAATTTGCACTGAAACCATTTTTCCTCTCCAACATTTTACGTCGATATTTTCTATATGTACTCGTAAAGAATGACAGTACAATTTGACCCGATACCATTTTTGTTTCTACCATTTTTCTAAACATGACGCTATGTAAACTCTTTTACTTCTTAAACTCGAGAAAAAAAACTGAATGGACAATGTTTTTTTAGAAATAGCGGAAATAAGATCGAAATCCCAAAGCGTGTTCAAGATCGTACTTTAAAAGGTGTATCAGTGTTTCTCAAGCTGGGCACTGCGATGGCATAAGTATACATTATCGAAAAGGAAATACAGAGTTTAAATCTCACAAAGTTCAATTGCTTAAATTTGCAGTTCAAAAAGTATATACAAACAATTAAAACAAGAGATGATTCCAAAGATTCCAAGATTGTTGATGGATATTTGCTGATATTTGCTAAACAGTTGTGTGGTTCGTTTAAGAATTTATTTAATTAAAAATTAAATAACTAGATTAATGTATATTTTTTTAATTAATTTAAATTTTCGTTGCTTTTAAACACATCTCCGATATGATGCTATCTCAGTTCGAATTAAGATATTATTTTTCTCGCTTAGCTAAGTTAGTTTGCATATTGAACGCCACAAATATTCAGGAGGAATGTCGTAGAGAATTACTTATAGTTTAATGTTTTCTGCTAAGTGATATTACACTCTGATAAAGTCTTCCGAAATTTTTCCTAAACTGGTTTAGTATTTAGTTATATAGTTCATATAGTTTGTATATACTATATAGTATATATAGTTTTCTAAAATGTCTTCCTATTATCAATTCTAAATTAAGTGATATATAGTTTTTTAAATCCATATTAAATAGTGTTTTCAATGTGTATGCATTGAAAAAAATTACGTGAGTCCTTTTATTCGATTAAGTTGTGAAAATCTCTAAATCGGTAATAAAAAAATAATTTCACCAAATTTGATTTGCACGAGCGGAAGCAATAAATGTGAAAATGACTCAAATACATCACATTAACACAAATGAAGCGGATAGCACATACGTAATTGAATTCTCGGTCGAGCTTAAGTATCCTCGAACACATTTAAATCCATTCGTGAAGGATGTGATTGAGTGTATATCTATTCGAGAAGTGTCACTAAAACTGCACCGCCACATACTCGTGCGTAACAAATAGTGCTTGAAACTGCTTCAAACTTTGACTATGTAAAATAGTTTTTGCATGTGATGCTAGAGAAATTGTGCGTTAAATTTACTGAATAGAAAATTCAGTTAAAATACATTTAAAAAAACTTATAAAATATATCAAATAGAATAAATGTAATCGGATTATATGACATAAAATTTCGTACAAGATAAGTATAGCTTATGACCATATAGAATGAAAAGTAAGACTAAGTTATAAGTATGTCTTATATAAATTTAAAATAAAGGTTTCAATTTTAAGAAAAAAATGTCGAAATCGTTTTTATTTCAAATAATAATCTTATAATTATTGATACGATTCCATTTGTCCTTTGATGTTCTTTTTGTTCTATGAGATTAAATATTTTTTGGGACGTGTTTGCTCGTGATGTTACAGTTGCCTTTGCTGCTATCGCAAAGAAATCTGCAAGAATGGACTTAGTGGTAAATGAGGGTAAATCAATTAATATGTCGGCTACTGGTACGAATGTGTGTCGCTCAGAAGCCGAGCTACTGGCTGGGCAAACTATACTTTCGAATCTGTCAAGGATTTCATTTTACTTGGCACCAACGTAACGAATAAAAACAATGTCAGTTTAGTAGTCAAAGAATTACAAAGAATTACTATTGGGATTTAGAGCTCTTTCTCGACAAAAAAAAACATTACGCTCGATAGGTTGCTCAAAATATCTCTGATTCTGTATGGTGCAGAGACA